TTAGTTAGTCTTCCTTCAGGTCAAAGAAACAAGAACCATGAGTTAAAGTCGGCTTAATTTAAGAAATCATCTATTAATTATTATTTTGTTTTCATTTTAGTTTAAAATCTTTGTTTTCTTTCCAACCCATCTACTAACTTTTAAAATTGTTTCATTTTCATCTACCCCTATGCAACGCCGTTAACTATATTGACGGAACTTCCCAATTCTAATTGTGTGGTGCCATGAAAGCCACTGTATGACCCACTTAAGCTAACATGTGGCTTAAAAATGGGAGGGAAACATTCTCACATCCTTATTTAAGGTTAAATACTTAATTTAAAAAATGGGTAGTAATTTAGAGATAATTTTTTTATATAATTTTTGGTATAATTTTTTTATATAACTTTTATATGTCATTAAATAAATAAATGTACATATCATAAGTTATAAATGAATAAAAAATGTCAATTATTTAAATAACATATAAAATTATACAAAAAAATAGTATAATTTTTTTTGAATTAAATATAATAATTAATTATAGTGTAAAAAATTAAAACTACTAACTAGACTGAACACAAGAATTTAAACAAAAAAATATATATAAAGTTTCAAACTACATTAAACTTATTTAGAAAATTTAGAAATAAATTTTTACACTATAATTAATTACTTTTTAAAAAAAATTCAAAAATAATTTTTTATATTATTTTTGTATAATTTTATATATTATTTAAATGATTAACTTTTTTTATTCATTTGTAACCTGTATATTGAGTACATTTATTTATTTAATAATATATAAAAGTTATATAAAAAATTGTCATTATATTACTACATATTTTTTAAATTAAGCATTTAATCTTGAACAAGGAAGTAAGAATATTTCCCTATCATTTTTTAGGCCACATGTTAGCTTAAGTGGGCCACACAGTGGCTTTCATGGCACCACACAATTAAAATTGGAAAGTTTCGTCAATGTAGTTAACGGAGTTGCATAGGGATAGATGAAAATGAAACAATTTTGAAAGTTAGTAGATGAGTTTGAAAAAAAATAAGGATTTTAGACTAAAATAAAAAAAAAGTAATAGTTAATAGATTATTTTTTAAATTAAGCCGTTAAAATCACATTCCTGTTTAAAAAATTTTTTTTATCTTAATTGCAAAATGAGAAATAATTATTTTTTATTTTATTTTATTTTATTTATATATCGTACGAATTTGAATTTAAATTTTTTTTAAATAAAATGATTATTAAATTATTTAAATTATTAATTGTTTTTCATTAAATTTTGAAAGTTTATTTATTAAAAAGAAAGGGAGTT